TTATCCAAATTGTGTTGATGTGGGCGTGAAAACATGTAGGCCTAGGCCCTACATATTTTTTTTTTAATTTTAACAAAGGTGTTCTCAATATCTGTGCTCTTTTTAGGGCAATCACACAATGATGGGTAAAAACAAAAAAATGTAAATAAGTTTATAACATCTTTTCGAAAGACGTCCAGCGACATACGTGTGGCCTCACGGAGAGTGCTAGGTCAATAAATTCCGAACGGAGGGCTTAGGTTTACTTTTATCATTATCCATTGCCGTATTAAGTGCCCAAGACGCTGACACGATTTTGTTTGCGCCGTAAGGTATTAACCTCTTCACTTCACTGCTGTTTGGACGTAGTATGTATGTGTCCACTTGTATTCCTCAAAACATGTTCAACGCTATTTTCTAAAAATCGACCTATAGAGGAAGGTTTAGGAGATATAAATAACCACCGCTTGTGCAGTTGCTCATTCTTTAATAAAGGTGACAGGTAGGCCTATTAGGGTGTTTCTTGAATCTCTCCTGGATAAACATTTTATTGTGCCTGTACAAATGAAGATCATAGACGTCTCAGCAATTAATGGGTTTATAAGAATTATGAACTGATAGTGATAGAAGAGAATTAGGCCTAGGCCCTACATGTTGTTGTTCTTTTTAAAGAATCCTTGCTTTTATTTAAAGAACACAGTAGGAGTAAGTGGCTTTGGGTGGTTGCCTCCTTCTCTAACATCAAACATCTATCAGCATCTATTCCCCTTCACCCCCCCCCCCCCCCCCCCGCTGGTCTCTTGTTATGTGTTTGGGTATCGCCCCATACAAAAGGGGGGGGGGGGGGGGGCATTAACCTGTTCTTATGCACAGTAGAATTGTAAATGGGCTGATTCACCAATGTCACGCTCATAACTGTGCCTGAGCTGCAACAGGGAATTGTTGCTTTTTCTTTCCTAATCCTTACTGTCGTCATGTTTCCTCTACTTCTGTTTTATGTTTGCCACATTCTAGTGACCCTATCTGGGATGCTTTGATAGTCGAAGCGGACTTTGTTCTGTTGAAGCAAGGGAGGTGAGCAGAGTAAGCCTGATTCCCTGTAAAGACTTCTCTGTTGACATCCACCCCTTGGCGCTCATATGACTATTATGACCACATGCAGTTGCGAGCGCTGTAAAACCTTACTAAAACTAAAACTAAACAAAAACTAAATTGTCCCCCTTTTTGTATTGGCCTACTCCAAAGAGGTTATAAATTAAATTAGAACTAGAGGTCTTAGCTAGCTGTGACGTCACTTGTATCAAAGTTGAGGGGTCAGCCGCCATTCCAGGGAGGAGGAATAAAAGTAAGGCCTATTGGTGCACAGCAACACTTTTCAATCACGAATTAATGGTACTCTGCGAAGTATTTTGATGTTGATTTCTTTTTCATGCGATTTGTCTATCGCTAAAATGTACTCAGATGGATTTTTGTGATTGTTTGAGTTTACCTGCAAATGAGCCAGATGCTCT